TCCTCCACGGGAGCAGTGTCACCAGGGCTCTGGCAGCGAGGAGGACACTGAGGACTGCAGCTCCCCATGTCCCTGGCATACAAGACTGAGCTGGACAAGCCAAGGATGGTGTGGTGTCCTTGTGTCCCCCAAAGAACCACTCTAGATGACAGGCACCACCTCCCCAGCACCCGCCCATCCCTACCTGTACCGCTCCTCCTGCAAGCACTGCGTCATGTAGGTGTAATCCCTCTGCAGCTGAGCCTTGAGGTCCTCCATGGAGTCCTCCAGGTGAGACTGGCTGTCCTTGATCTCCCGGAGTTCCTCCAGGATGGTGTCGAAGTTATTGTGGTGGCTGTCCAACGTGTTGGACCCGCCCCGGAGTTGCTGCCGCCGGCCGAGCCGGAGGTGGCACTGGAGCACTCGTCATCGCTGCCATACTTGGGGCTGGAGACCAGGGTGGCACTGCCACTGAGAGCCCGGGAGGCCTCCTCGGGGTGCCCGTCGTCCAGCGTGTCCTTCAGGTGGGCGATGTTGTCCGCGCTGCCGAACTTGTTCCGGATGAGGCTGGCGAACTCCCGGGGCTTGGAGACCACGGCGGTGTGGGTGGCTTGGGACAGACCCGAGAGCCCCCCCTTGACCCCTTCCACCACGCCGCCGCCGAAGCCGCTGATGCTGGAGCGGACGTTGGCCCCCACGTCCTTCAGGCCTTGGTGCATGTCCCGGAAGACATCCTTGGGCTGGCGAGAGGGGCCGTTCTGCTCGATCTCCTTCAGCTTCTTGTGGTAGTGCTCCAGCTTCTTGTGCAGCTGGGCGATGGTCTGCGCCGACTTCTGGTTCTTCTTCTCGAAGACCTGCTTGATGCGGGAGGCTTGCTGCTTGTCCGCGTTGTTGGCCAGCTTCAGGTACTCGGCCACGTTGTCATCCCGAGCCTCCTGCTCGATCTTGATCTGCTCGGTGATCTTGAGGATCTTCTGGTGCAGGTGCTCGATGGCAGCTTTTGTCCTGTGTGGGTCGGGGGCGCCATCGGGGACGCACAGGCAGACGGGGCCGTGC